GATAATATAGCTTTCTATCGGTGAAAGAATTTTTTAAATCGGACCAGTAGCTCCGGAGCCTATTCGCTGCAAACAAACAAACAAATTTTACCTCTTTATAATATTAGTATAGATTAGTATGGATATCTATTTTTTCCCCTCAAAGTAATCCCCATGAGACAATATGCACTTGTGCCAACGGTTTTTCCAATCTTCGAAGCACTTCAAAATCATTTTTTTTTATCTTGTTCAGCTCCTCCTTCGACGCCGTCTTTATCTCGTCAAGCGTAGCGTAACGTCGCCCTTTCATGGGCCTCTTCAGTTTAGGAAACAAGAAAAAGTCACAGGGGGCCAGATCTGGGGAATACAGTGGCTGCGGCAACCTTAGTGTGTTGTTTTTGGCCAAAAAGTCGCGCACAAGCAACGATGTGTGAGCAGGGGCGTTATGGCGTTATCTGGCGGATTGTTTCGCGCAAATTGCGCATAACTTGCGGGTAATATTTCTTATTGACCGTTCTTCCCTGTGCACAGTGGGCCAGAAAATCCAAAAAGTGGCAAAAAACCGATTTCGGAATTTCAAAAAAGTAGTTAGCTGTATAAAAAACGGTTATATTGGACTAGTATTTGTCAAAGTTTCAAAGCATTTGGTTACAAATTACAATTTTTACAAGGAATTTAAATAGAAAATATTGCTTGAAACTCAGATAAATGTACCTTGCCTTAAATACAAATAAATTTTTATTTCTGTGTGATACAAAACTATTTATTATTTTTTTACAACTAATAATGTTACGGAAACCAAAAATAATAGTTTTTTTCTTCAAAAAAGTCGAAAAAATATTTTTTTTATTATTTTTAATACAAAGTTATACGATTTTCAATGTTTGCGACACTTCCAAATAGGCGTTCCCCTTCGTTCCCCTAGATATCAATATGTGAATTAGTCGGAATTATTCCTTGAAATATGCTGTTTTTGAAAAAGTTGCGCCTTCTTGAGCGTTTTTTGTTTTAAGAAAGAAATAAATAAAAAACCTAGCGCGCTTCCACATTTTTGCAAGCTTGCATATACACATTTGTGCAGGAATTTACATGCGCTGCAGCGTGCTGAATGCTTTCTGCAAGCAAACCAACTGGTGACGGTGTGGTGAAATCGAACTTTTTAAATCCGAATAGAGCGTTTTGTCTATTATTGTAAGCGTGGAGACCTTCACAAAAGGAGAAATTTTGCAAAAATTGAATGATTCCAAGAATGTTATCGAACCAGTCTTTGAATATACACTGCTCGCCACTTGAATAGGACACCTCTAAACTAGATTTTATAACTTTAATTGCTGCCAAGCCAAGCCATCTAGGAACATAATTTTATTGTTTTAGTTAAGTTAATTTAAATCTAGTAGTGTTGCAAAAATTACAATATTTTTAAAAAGTTGTAAGTATAAAAAAAAAATTGTTAAACAATTAGTAACCAATTGTGCAGTCTTCATTTTGCACCACTTGATTAGGACACATTCCCAAAAAAAAATGTTTAGAATTTTCAAACTTTATTCAAACATTAAAATTACTTAATATATTCTAGTTTAAGGTATTTTGTAACAAAAAAAAATTTTTTTAATAATGTGTTGAGCCACCTTTGTTTTCCAAAACTTCACACATTCGGTTTGGAAGGGATGCGTATAATTTTTCCAAATAACTCAACGTAATCGAGTCCCATGCTAATTTGATAGCTGCCATAAGCTCGGGAACGCTCGAATATTGCTGGCCGGATCCATATACTTCACGTGTTAGCCATCCCCACACATTCTCAATGATGTTTAAGTCCGGCGAATATGGTGGCCACTTTAATACCTCCACGTTTTGGCTTGTTATATACGAATTAACTATCCGAGCCGTATGTATTGGGGCATTATCGTGTTGATAAATCCATTTTAAATTTGCGAAAAGTGTTTGGAAGTGGGGAAAGGCCTCTTTCAATATTGCATTATAGCTTAATGCATTCATGGTAGTTTTAACAAATTTAAGCTGACAGGTGCCATAATAAGAAATGGCCCCCCACACCATAATACCTCCAGCACTGCTGTGCAACTTATCAAGATGGTGTGGTTCTTTTCGAAGATCATGAAAATAGTAGCTGTAGCCATCTGGACCCTCCAAATTAAACTTTTTTTCGTCTGAAAAGACGACACGATGCCACTCCGAAGTCCAGGTCACATGAGCGCGAGCGAAATCAAGGCGTTGCAGCTTCCGAACCGGGTTAAGAGGTGGCTTCTTCTTGATTTTTAGTCTCTTCAGATGTGGAACATTATTGATGACTCGACGCATGGTTGTCAAACTTGCTTTGACGTCACATTTTTGTCTTATCTTTGCCAAAGAGTCGTGCGAATTGGAAGCTTCTCTGATTATAAGTCGCTTGTCCGCGCTAGTAAGTACACTGTGAGTGCGGCCCTTCATGTTTTTGCCATAATTATCCTCATTATTTAAAAAATTGGTTACCACGTGACGGCTCCTGTCGATTTTTTTAGCTATTTTGGCAATAGATAAGCCAGAATCCTTGTAGGCTTGGATTTTGCCTTTCTCCGCTTCAGATAATGAAGTGCCACGCCCCATTTTTACTTTTTAATTTAATTTACTCTTGAATTAAATGAAAAAGCCCAAGTAACTTGAATTTGGCGTGTTTGTGCGAACGATACCGACAAAATAAAATGGATGTTCTATTCAAGTGGCGCAAAAATTTCATTGTACTTTTACGAATGCTCACAAAAAGTGCACACAACTTTATAACGGTTCTATTCCAAATCTTGGAATATACCAGAAAGAGCGAATAAAGTGTGGACACAGATAATATGCAAAAATTCCGTTATTTTATTATTTCGTTTTCGAGTTATGAGTCGATGTAAAGGAAGCATACAGGGTGTCCTATTCAAGTGGCGAGCAGTGTATTTTAAAAAAGTTACATATTGATCCAAATAGCTCATCTCAAGAAGCAATGAACCGCTTAAGAGTGTCTTTAAGAACTTTAATATCAAAATACAAAGGAAAGTTGAATAAAGCCAATAGAAAACTCGATCGCTTTTTATTAAAAAACGAAGACTGGATGAATTCTGTTTTTAATATTCAAACCGAAGGATTCGGATTACTTGAAAAAAGTAATGTAAGTCGTGCGGGCCCTGGTCGTCCAAAAATAGAATTCAGTTCTAGACAGAATCGTTCTAAGAGATACGAAATTGCGAATTTGAGTGCAGAATACAACCATAATGCAGAAAAACTATTGATGGCTAGTAGGTAATTAAAAAATTAAAAAAAAAAAATTAAATTTAAAAAATGCAAAAAAAAATTAAAAAATAAAAAAAAAATTTAAAAAAAAAAAAAAAAAATTAAAAAATTAAAAAAAAAAAAAAATTAAAAACCAAAACAAAAAAAAAACGGGATGTTAAATCGGTTTAGGGGCCTTCTCGTGGCACATCCTGAGTGCTTTAGCAAAAGCAGCTAATCCTAAGCGTAATATATAATTATAAAACAAAATTATCACAAATCCTCTTTAAAAATATATAAATTGATATAAAAAAATTAAAAATATTGATTAGAAGTACATAATTTAATAACAAGTTTCAATGAGAATTAATCAGTTTTTAGAAAAGTCATTATATTCAGTCCGCCATTTCAAATTTTGAAACTCCAATTTCAGATTCGGAATCAGCGACCCCAAGAACATAAGATAACATACTAAAAGTTTTAAATCCATTGATAATTTGGGAGTTATTAATTTTGCCACTTTTTTCCAATCCTGGCCCACTGTGCTGTGGCAAGAACTCATGATGCACCACGCCACTGCAATCGAAGAAAACTGTCACCAAAACTTTCACATTCGACCGAACTTGAAGTGCTCGGGCGTCCGGCACGCTCTTTGTCGTTCACATCTTCTCGGCCTTCTGAGAACATTTTGTGCCACCGATAAACGTTGCTTCGGTCCAAGGTAGCTTCTCCGTATGCCACAGTCAACATTCGTCAAAAATTTGATACAGGTTCATTGATCCATTTTTTTGAATAGGTAAAAATCGAAGACGATCCAAAACACGTGCAAGCAAAGCAGCTGTCAACAATTAAGTGAACATTCAAAAAGACCGAGCTTGTCGGCATAAGTGAGAGACATGAGGACCAACATAACGCCACAAAAAAAATCAAAATTCGATACGAGGTAACCGGCGAAAATTCAAAATTCGCGATACTTTTTGAACACACCTCGTATACATATTCTTTGATCATTCCTATGGCAGCGATATGATAGATTTATCTGATTTTGTGAATACAGTAAAAATCGTCATAGCTCCGATGTTGTTTAGCCTTTATGTATTTTATTTGACATATTTGATGACGGTGGCCCAGCAGGTAGAGCGCTGGCCTCCGATCCAAAAGGCCCGGGTTCGAGTCCGAGGCTCCCAAAAAAAAAAAAAAAACGGTTTCTTTTTCCAAATCTCCACCACTTCTATGCTCTATCGCTCACTTAACAATAGTCACAAATTTCGGCTCCCCGCACCCGCACACCCCCTCGTCCACGTTACTATGGATACAACAATAGAACTTTCGGCACTCCTAGATGGCGCCAGGTGGCAACCCCACCGCTAGGATAAGTCGCTACTGGCTAATCACCAGTACGTTCCAAAAACCAAAGATAAATGAATCCTCAACAAAAAATCGCAGAGGCTCTATGCTCCCGGGTGGAGTGAAAGAATGTAAATTTGATGACTGCAAGGGTATATCAGCTTCGGTTTACCGAAATAAAGTTTTCTGGCGACTCTAGAATTTAAATTAAATTTCATGAAAATCAGACGACTAACTGTACTAGGAACAATTGGTAAAAATATAGAAAATAAATAGAAAATTGTTTAGCCCTTGTGCATTTGGCTCGACATTTGTGGAGACTGCAAGGGTATATAGTTAAGCTTCGGCTATCTGAAGCTAGATCCATTTCTTGTTTATTTTCATACTGGCAGAATAAATCTAATAAATTACATTAATGGTTCCAGAGTGACAGTAATAATTTAACAGAAGGCGAATTTTTATCACGTTACAATGAAAAAATCAAGCACCAACTTTTAAATGATTCGAATAGCGATTCTAGACTATCAAAACAAAGTAGCTACGAATCTTTAATGGAATCGGATTCAGCAGGTAAAGACATTTCGACTAGTATTGTAGATAAGTTTCTGCATGTATTTAAAACTAATAAAAGTCGAAAACCTGTATTAAACAATAAAAAGTTCTTTGAAGAAAGAGAATCTGAAAAGTTGGATAATATTATGCCAGCAGGTGATGTAGTGACATCCAATGTAAATTCTTCTGAAAAACAGAATAGCGAATCAGAAATGCCACATCAACAAAATGAAATTATACTAAGTTCTGAAAGCGATTTTTCAGATAATGAATATGTTGGTTTACTAAAGGGAAGACTAATTAAACCAATGCTCCGAACGGATCAACTCGCTCTGGAAACAAGAGAAGCGCAAAAAAATGAAACCGAAAGAATTCGGAGGCTAGAGAGGAAAAATGCTGTTCTTTCAAAAGCAATTAAAAATAACTTAAAGTTTTTACAGAACTCTGATCTCATACTTGACTATATTGAAAAAACGAAAACATTTATCAAAGTGAATGGGAATCTTGTTAAGCTATTAAAGCCTCATCAGAAAGATGGAGTTAAATTTATGTACGATTCTTGTTATGGCGGCATTGATCTAAACAAGGAAAATTCTGGATCTGGATGTATTTTGGCTCACTGCATGGGCCTTGGAAAAACTCTTCAGGTAAATGAATATAAAGGAATATATAATAATAAATCTACATCAATTTTGTTTTTTAGTTAATTACATTGCTGCATACGGTTACATCTTACAAGGAACTAAGTACATCAAAAATTTTGATACTATGCCCAAAAAGCACAGTCATGAACTGGGCTGACGAATTTCAACAGTGGTTATGTGCAATAGGAGACAGTTACCGTATAAAGGTTTTCGTATTTCCTGATTCCTCGTAAGTTCATTTCTTATAAGCATTTTATAATAAAACAAGAAAGGGAAGCTAGCTTCGGCAAGCCGAAGCTTATATACCCTTGCAGTCGAACAAAATACATTAAGGTTAAACAGCATCGAAGCTATAACGTTTTTTATACCCTTGCAGAGCAAAAGGGTATTATAATTTCAGTCAGAAGTTTGCAACGCAGTGAAGGAGACCCCATAAAGTATATATATTCTTGATCAGCATCACGAGTAGAATCATAATACTTATGTTATGTACTAGACTTCTGCATGAATGCACTCATTTGTGGCATAACAGATCTGTACAGTAGTGTAGTGTGTTCAAAAACACTGCACTCATTCCTTACTGTACAGTATACTCTATAGGTCAGAAGAAGATAGCACAACATATTTAGTGTACTCACTTCGAGTGGGTTCAGTATATGGTTGTACTCTTCGTAAGGAGTACTATATTTTTCCTTTTTATCAACGCTGTATAGCTTGTATGTTGACTGTGAACAACTGTGCAGATGAGTGCAGTATGTTTCAGTTGCCAAAAATTTATTTTCCGAAAAACTGTCCGAAATTGCCACCACTGAAGACATGGTAAACAAAATAATGTTCCTACATTACAATATTAATAACTTAAATATAGGTTCTTTAATAACATAAAATAATTATTATAATTAGTTTAAATTTAAATATAAATAATTTCTAATTTTTTTATTTTATAATAAATACATTTAAAACGAAAAAACAAATCAAATTTTTAATCGGACATACATACTCACGAGAACTATACATATATGTGTGTATGAACCAGTCATGAAGTTTTACTCACTGTACAGTAAGTTAACTGCACACCAAAACACTGCACAGTGGTCGGGCTTGTATGGAACCGCGGCCATAAATACTTCTAGTTGTGCTATCGCTATGAAACTTTCACAAAAAATCTATAAAAATATTATAAATACAATATAAAAAAATTGACCGGATCGTACCACTATATCCTATAGCTTCCATAGGAACGATTGGATCAGTGCAGTCCTAAAATCACTTTTTATGGTCAGATCAGGCTAATATTTTTTATATATATTTATTTTACTTCACTCTTGTCAACAATATAGCTGTTTTTTATAATATTCGCTTCTATACCTTCAATCAATTTTGTTCGCCTTTCGACGGCGCTACCCACTTCGCTGCCCCATACATTAAAAACATATAATCGTGAGAATAAACACTTATAAGAAAAACCTATTCAATTTTTAAGCAAGGGAATAAACAAAAAGAAAAAAGAAATAAAAGAAAAAATAAATCAATAAATGAAAAACGGTTAATAAACACAAACTCAAAAGACGAAGACAGAGCAAGACGAAGAACGGCACAACAAGCACACGAGCGAAAACAAATTTTTGTAGTGCAAAACTGACCCTGAAAAAGTAAAGACGGTGTTAGAATTTTTACGATTTTAGGCACATCTGCAAATTTCTGCAAAAAAAAATTACACATTTATTACCTTAAAAGCCAGTCAAACACATTGGTATACAACTTAATTGTGGATTTTTGTGGCATCACTACTAAAACTTTAGCTAAACATAAAAAGACGTTCAAAATATAGACAAAAAACATGTATTATTTCAAATTTATATAACAAGAACAGTTTAGCAAGCACGTTTTTTTATAATATCTCAAATTTTAGAAAATACCTTCAACTTCAAAATCCATTAAAAATATTTTAAATTTGGACACGTAAAAAATGAACTGACCTCTTCAAAGTTCGGTTTTGCTATGAAATGTTCGCGATGCGCGCAAGCTGCGCTGTGCAAATGAACACCTTCTTACAACTTTAATTCTATTTTTAAAAAGAACCGTTAGTTTTACAGAAAAATAAAGTTTGCCATCAAGAAGTTTGGACAATTTAGAAACGATTTGTTTACTTTTCGTACATTTTTGTTGTTATGACTTTTTTTATTTTTGGCCTATGGGCGCAACCACTGTGCACTGTACAGTGCGTTGACTACTGCACACCAGTTTTGCTGTCCTCATTAACAGCTGTACAACTATGGAATGAGTGAGACTACTGTCATTCAAAACAGACAATACTACCCTATTCACTCACACCCAAATGTACTGTGCAGAAAAAATAGTGTGCCCACTTTTAGAATAAGTGATTCATTTGTCGTTTTGGATGCATTCATGCAGAAGTCTATTATGTACGTCTGTCCGTCTGGCCGTCTGTCCGTCTGTCTGTTTCTCTTCAAACTAGTCTCTCAGTTTTAAAGCTATCTTGCTGAAACTTTCCAAAAGGTGTGTAGTTATTGCACGCAGTATATAAGTCGGAACGAGCCAGATCGGCCGACTATATCGGATAGCTCCAATACGAGAGAATGAAATAAAAAATTCCCAGGCCGCTGTTTTTGATCAGATCGACTTGAATTCTTCCAGATGGCGTTTTCTAACTACTATTGAATTTCGGATAACTCTATCATATAGCTGCCATAGGAGAGATCGAAAATTATATATAGAATTAATGGAAATAAATTGATAACATCGTTGTTTTTTATCCCACGTGCATGATTTTTTGAATATCAAGTTTTTTAACAACGATATAAAATTGAGAAAAAAGTTTCATAAAAATCGGACAACTATATCATATAGCTGTCATAGGAAAGATCGAAAAATCTATATAGAAATAATGGAAGTAAAATTATAACATCGTGGTTTTTCATCAGACAAGTATGATTTTTTGAAATATAGAGTTTTCTTACGACTCCTTAATTACGTATTAAATTTGATCAAAATCGGACAACTATATCTATACATAGCTGCGATATGAACAATAGTCAAAAATATGGAAAACAAGAAAGGAAGCTAGCTTCGGCAAGCCGAAGCTTATATACCCTTGCAGTCATCAAATATGTCGAACAAAACGCATAAAGGCTAAACAACATCGAAACTATAACGATTTTTCTATTCATTTTCCATATTTCCGACTATGGATCATATGGGAGCTATATGATATAGTTGTCCGATTTTGATCAAATTTAATTCGTAATTCAAGAGTCGTAAGAAAACTCTATATTCCAAAAATCATGCTTGTCTGATAAAAACAACGATGTTATAATTTTATTTCCATTATTTCTATATAGATTTTTCGATCTTTCCTATGGCAGCTATAAGATATAGATGACCGATTTTTATGAAACTTTTTTCTCAATTTTATATCGTTGTTAAAAAACTTGATATTCAAAAAATCATGCACGTGGGATAAAAAACAACGATGTTATCAATTTATTTCCATTAATTCTATATATAATTTTCGATCTCTCCTATGGCAGCTATATGATAGAGTTATCCGATTTTGTTCAAATTTAATCCGAAATTCAATAACAGTTAAAAAACTCCATCTTGAAGAAATCAAGTCGATCTGATCAAAAACAACAGAGTGAGAATTTTTTATTTCATTCTCTTGTATTGGAGCTATCCGATATAGTCGGCCGATCCGGCCCGTTCCGACTTATATACTGCGTGCAACAACTACACATCTTTTGGGAAAGTTTCAGCACGATAGCTTTAAAACTGAGAGACTAGTTTGCGCGGAAACGGACAGACGGACAGACGGACAGACGGACAGATGGACAGACGGACAGACGGACAGACGTACATACATATTTCGAATCTGCTCGTGATGCTGATCAAGAATATATATACTTTATGGGGTCCGAGGTGTCTCCTTCACTGCGTTGCAAACTTCTGACTGAAATTATAATACCCTTTTGCTCTGCAAGGGTATAAAAATCGTTATAGCTTCGATGTTGTTTAGCCTTTATGGATTTTGTTCGACATATTTGATGACTGCAAGGGTATATAAGCTTCGGCTTGCCGAAGCTAGCTTCCTTTCTTGTTCTTCTATTGATTTTTCATATTTTCGACTATTGTTATTATGGTAGCTATATGATATACATAGTCGTCCAATTTTGATGAAATTCAATTCGTTATTCAAATGTCGTTGGAAACCTCTACACTTCAAAAATTATGATTGTCTGATGAAAAACAACGGTATTATCATTTTATTTCCGTTAATTCTATACGGATTTTTCGATCTTTCCTATGGCAGCTATATGATATAGTTGTCCGATTTTTATGACATTTTTTTTCTCGGTTCAAGGGTAGGTAACAAAATTGATGTTGTAAAAATCATGTTCGTGGAATAAAAAAAAACGACTTTATAATTTTTTTTTCCACTATTTATCAGGCAGGCTCCGGTTTTTCACTTTCACAAGATTCTCTCGTTTTCGTTTTTGAAAACGAGAATTGGTGCTCCGGTTTTCACTTTCACAAGAATTTTTCGTTTTCAAAAACGATCAAATTTTTTTTTTGTCGAAATGAAAAGTAAATGCCTTTTTCTACATCAAATCGGTTCTTAATTGCAAAAGTAAAAAAATAGTTGATTCCTTGGTCTATTGATGTTCATTTCCCACCCTCAGTATATCAATCTAATTCGTATTTATTTTTTAAATAATTATTTTCTGACCCCATCTTGATTTCATAAAAAAATATTTGCCGTCTGCAACAACAAATTTCGTTTTGCTCAGGGGTCGATAAACCTCTTGCTAAAAGTTATCGTAAATGCTGCCGTTCTTGTAGTGGAACAAAACAACCACTTAAAAATACTTATAAAATGAAAACAAAGAATAAAATATTTGTAAAAAAAAGTTAAATAAGCTTTTTATAAATAAATATGATTAATTTAGTTTCTTAAATGGCAAAAGTGCAGTAAAAAAGTGGTTGAGAATAGTGGAATGAAAGCTGCAAAAAAGGTGGCAGCCCCTTATTGTGGGAAACAGCTGATTTCTGATGGAGGCTTTTTTGAACTTTCAAAAATGTAAGTAAGACAACTTAATTTACCGATCGTCAGACATATTAAAAACACATGTGCTGCATCTAAAATGTCTCGAATTTTTTAATTCAATCAATTTCTGCCTTTTTTTTGGCTTCAAAACAGTCAATTGAAAA